CATCAAGGGGTAGAAAGTTTGTTTTTAAATCCATGTCAATATTTTGGGCAATTTCATTTCAGAAGATGGGTCCTAGGAGGTGGAAGAGGACCTATGGATAGAAGGGAGGAAGAGAAGGGAAAGAGAGCTTATTAGAAGAGAGGTGACTGGCAGGAAAAATTCTTCAGAAGGCTTGAAAATACAGATGGTCCCATGTCCAGTCTCCCCAGCATCTTCCTCAGGGTTTTGAATACTTCCTTGTTCCTCAACATGTAGATCAGGAAGTTCAGCATGGGGGTGACCATTATGTAAAAGAGGAAGACAATCTTTCCCTGGTCTTTGGAGTGGGGATGTGAGCAAACAGAGATGCCTGTTCCATAGAAGAGTGACACCATGACTAGGTAAGAGGTGTAAGTATTAAATGCCTTGTGCCCTGCCCTCAGCCTAATGAATCTACAACATATCAGTGCCAATGTTGCCATGGGAGCCCAGGAGGAGACTTACAGGTATTGCCAGAAAGATCAGACTTATAAAGTAGACTTCAGTCTTGTTGAATAATGTGTCAACACAGGCCAACTTGAGCATGGCTGGTACCTCACAGAAGATGTGATCAGTGTGATTCTCTCTACACAGTGGCAGCTGTATAATCAGCACTGTCTATGCCAGTGACTTGACCAGGCCACTGAGAAGGAACCAGTACAGGGGAAAGTTTATGATGGTCATGTAGCACAGAGGACGGCAGATGGATGCATAATGCTCATAAAACATGGGGGCCAGGAGAATGCACTCAGTGGAACCCAGGCCAGGGGAGATGAAGAGCTGGGCCACAGACCTAGCTCAGGGACTGGACTTACATGTACTGTAGCAGTTCACCAGCATTTGGAGGACAAGGCTGGCGGTGTAGCAGATGTCCAGGAAAGAGAGGTGGCAGAGGAAGAAGTACATGGGTGTATGGAGAGGGAGGTCCAGCCAGGAGATGACAATGATGGTGACAGTCCCAAGCAGCATCATAATGTATCAGATGAAGGTGAACACAAACAGTAGCGACTGTGGTTGATCCCCAGAAGGATGAATTTCTCCATGGTTCTCTTGTTTTCCTCATCCCACACTGCTTCGCCATATGTTGCCTATGAGTAAAGAAATAGTAAGAGTGACAAAGACCCTACAGGCAGAAGGTTGGTGATAACAAGTGTCTGAGGGTGACTGGCAGTGGATGCTTGTGGTGTGGTAATTATGAATCCTGGTGGGCCTGGGCATCTCACTAGCTACACTCTGAATGAGTGGACTTAGGAAAGCTTGTAAGGGTCAGTTTGTGCACACTGATAGCATTTTATAATCAATCCATGACTAGAAACTGGTGGCAGGTATTAGGAAGGTGATATTATAGCTCAAATTTACTAACAAAATCATGGCTTTCCTAATATTTAGCATGCCTACTTGGTGATCAAATAATCTATTAGAGCAACACTGATTTTGTTCTAGTATAATTGTGTCCACTGTATGAAATTTAACTTGGACATCAGGAATAACTTCTTCATGGTAAGGGTTGTTAGAATCTGGAACGGGCTCCCAAGGGAGGTGGTGCTCTCCCCTACCCTGGAGGTCTTTTAGAGGAGACTGGACAAGCACCTGGCTGGGGTCATCTGACCCCAGCGCTCTTTCCTGCCCAGGGCAGGGGGTCAGACTTAATGATCTACTGAGGTCCCTTCCAACCCTAAAAATCTATGAAATCTATGACCAACCTCATTTAGATTAAGTTTAAAACCACCAAGGATCTGTCCCAGAGACAGACTGAGGGGATCACACCCCAGCTAGAAAAGGGGTTTTCAAGAGACCTTCATGATTTAACTGCCCTTTTCCTATCACATAACCCTTCAGCAGACAGTTATTCTGCTGGTCAGCCTCTCTATTCCGATATTAACCCAAGCTGGTCAATCTCTCCTTCCATTCATTCTGATATTCCTGCACCATGCCTCATATGCTACTCTGCACCAGCCCCGCCCCAT